CTGCTGGATGAGCAGACGAGCCTGCTGGTGCTGGTCCCAGCTGGCGTTGGAGCCGCCATTGAGGTGCGTGCAGGACAAGGGTTCGAGCCACCGGTGTCCCCGGGGCGCTTGGTGAGCTACTGAGTCTGAAACGCACAGCCCTCTGGAACGTTATGTCCTGCACACCTCCAGGTCCTGGAGGTGCCATGGACGGGCAGCTGCCCCGGTGAGCTGAGCATGGGGCGGGCCTTCCACTGAGGTGTGCGTGTTTGCACACGGAGCATGGGGGTGTGTATAGCATGCTTTTGGGGCACCGTGGGTCCGCTAGGTTTAGGTGAGGCAGGCTGCTGGTGGTGGCTAGTAACTGGCACCCCGCAGTCTGACCCTAGCGGTATGGGGGCTCAGAAGAAGGAGCCAGGTTTCGAAGGGGTCCTGAAGGACAGCAGTGAGGCTCGAGCAGCAGGCCCGGCCTTCACGAAGCCGCCTCGGGCACCCCCTCGCAGAGAGCCCCTCCTGGAGGCAGGAAGAGGAGGCGGGTGGTTTGGGAGAGCTGATAGGATGCAGAGCTGCTCTGGGCCTGCGAGCCATGTGTGGGGCCCACCAGAGTGGGTGCACCTCTGGGCTGCCCTGGCGAGGGGCTGTGAGGACGTGCGGGCAGGAGGCGGGCTGCAGCACGGAGCCCCGTCACGGGCTCACCTGGGCACCTCCTGGGCGTGGGCTCTCAGGTGTGCGGCTTCTCCTCCCCCTCTAGCTGTGGAAAGTGAAGAAGGCGCTGAAGATGACGGTCCTCTGGAGAGGCCTGAGACCTGTGTTCCAGGTGAGGGGTTCAGCCCTGCCGTCAGAGCCCCTTCCCAGGCTCCGGCCACACCCTCCTCCTCGTGGTTCCGGCTGGGCTGCACCCGCCTCCTTCAGCTCCTGGCTTCACGGGGCAGCTGAGATAAAGTGGATGCAGGGCAGCCCAGGGGGCTGTGGCCCCTGGTGGCCCTGCAGGCTGAGGCTCTGGCTCAGGTGCCCAGACAGAGCAGCCATGCCTCTGAAGCAGCTGCTGTCCCCAAGTCCCAGATGTCAGCGGGCTCTGGGGCAGACGGGCCGGGGCCTGTGTCAGAGGTCTGAGGTCACGCAGCTCGCTCACCTTTCTGATTGTGTTGCGGCCCCGCCCTGGCGTGAGCAGTTGTGGGCAGGCGCTGTCTCTTCTCTGGCTGTACCCGAAGACCTTGCCTTAGCCGTGCCGGGACCCACGTGCGAGGCCTTTCATTGCAGAGCTCCAGCCCTGCGTGCCGCACGGGGGCCGGGCCCAGAGTGAGCAGAGACTGCTCTGCTGCGTCACATTCAGATGCGCTGGGCCCGGGGCAAGGCCTGGAGTGCCCTGCAGGGCTGGGCACGGCCGTGTGCCGCCAGGCCTGGTGCTGGCCAGCCCGGCCCGGGGCGGGTACACGTGCGCAGGTCTGCCCCCCTTCAGTTCACGTCGTGTTGATCCCGACAGTTTGGCACCTACAGTGAGTCCGAGAGGAAAACCGAGGAATATGACACCCAGGTGAGCAGAGGGCGCTGCAGGGCATGCGTGTGGGTGGAGACGCAGTGCCGTCGGTGTATGCGCAGAGGAGCAGCGTACACAGCGCTGCGGGACCTCTGGCAGCCCCGGGTCTCTCGCAGGCCTGAGGCGCAGGTGTGCTGGGCCCGTGGGCACCGTACGAGAGCTTTTACTTCCCAAATGGCGCTGTATCCCACGTGGCTCTCCCCTGGCTGGCGGGCAGCCCGAGGTTCCTGTGGGACCCGCAGCACGCTCTTTCTCTGGGAGTTCCCGCTGGGAGGGCTGTAGGCTTTTAGCTTGATGGCCATCACTCAGTGTTCTAGGTGTTCCGTTTTTTCTTTGGCAGGTTTTGCCATGGGGTGTGCAGTTGTCGGGGGGCGGGGGTTAGTGGGAAGTCTGCCCCAGTGAGGGAATGGCCGTGCCGCAGCTTCTTCATTCTCCTCTTGGGGTTTAGGCACACACGCGTCTGGCATAATTTCTGAGCCACCAGGTCAGCCGTGTGGGAGCCCAGCACCTTCAGCACGCCGGCAGTGTTGTTGAGATTGTGATGAGTCTCCAATTAGAGCAGATACCCCATGTGGTGCAGCCGTCCCACTGGGAGGTGATGGGCAGCGGGGATCTCTGTCTTCTCTCCGCCATGTCGCCGTTGGCCCATGGCAGCCAGGTCTGGGCTGTGTCCTGAGCCACCCTGCTGCTGCGTTATGCACCCACCCCCACAGTTCACGCGGGCCGCTGAGGTGCTACCGCCCACGTGGCGTGACGCACAGTTCGCGCACTCCACTGCCCGTGTCGGGCTTTTCTGCTCGCTGCGTCTTTGTGCTCTTGGTTCGGGAAACGCAGAGCAGGGCCGTGCGGGGAGCTCAGCGCGGCTGTCTCACCTTGTCCCTGGCAGGCCATGACGTACCTGTCCTACCTGCTCTACCCTCTCTGCGTCGGGGGGGCCGTCTACTCGCTGCTGAACGTCAAGTACAAGAGGTAGGCCCACCCCGCTGCCCAGCGAGAGGCCGTGCCCCTGAACCCTGAGCAGGCCTGTGCCGGGTGGAGCTGACGAGGCTCGGGCTGTGTGAGCCCAGGGAGCTGGGGCATCTCAGCCAGGCCCTGGGCTGGCCGAGCAGGGTGGGCAAGGCTCGAGTACCTTGGGCGGGCGTGGGTCTCCATCTGGCCA